TCTCAAGGTCCATCCATGTTGTTGCAAATGGCAGTATTTCATTCGTTTTTATAGCTGAGTAGTATTCCATTTGAGTGGATACGGAAAATGTAGTATATCTACATCATATTTTTTATATATGCTATTTTTACCCGCTTCATCAGGGTCCAGTCTAGGATCACACTTGCCTTTGCCTTTATGCATTGTCATGTCTCCTTACTTATCTTTAATTTGAAAAAGTTCTTCAGCCTTTGTCTTTCACACCATTGATATTTTTGAAAGAATACAGGCCAGTTGTTTTGTAGAACCTTTGTCAAGCTGGGTTTGTCTGGCGTTTTCTTATTAGATTCAGGCTATATGTTTTTGGGCAGGAGCACCACAAGTGATGCTGTGTCTTTCTCAGTGCTATACATCCAGAGGCAGTGGTATCAGTTGCTCCACTGCTGGTGATGTTGGTCCTCTAAGCACTCTGTGTTGAAAGGTTCTTATAGTCATATGAACTCTGGCATGTATGTACTTGGACTCTGACTGTAGGAATTTTCCTGCTAAGTATTCGCTCTCTCAAGTAGGCAGCATTCTGTTCCATCTCTCTGTTCAGTCAGGTAAGCTTGAGTTGCCTCCCAGTTCTCTCTCTCTTTTGCAACATCATTATCTGAGACTCATGCTTCCCATCAGGAACCATAATACCTTTTATTAAGTCACATCCCCTAGCCAGGATGTCTAAACCAGTGATTATTTCTTCCATTCCGTCAGCATATTTTTAGTGTTTTCTTGGTTTCAAGTTAGGTTCTTTGGCTCTAGCAAAGTTAAGCATCGGAGCAGTGGTTTCAGAGGAGAGTTTTATAGCTGAATATGGGAAGACTTAGGTGCCATCGGGTCAGTTTGAATCAGACTCAGGTTCGTTTTATCCCAAATCACAGCCTTTCAGGCTAACCTTATTTTGATTATAGTTAAAATTTGAGTGTTTGCTGCATGTCATTTACAGTGCTAAACATTCTCTGTGTGGTAGCTTTATGTGTTCCTTAAAACAACTCTAGAAAGTAGATGCTATTTTCTTTGGTTTACAGATGAGGAAATGGAGGCTTTAAAAGGTTAAAATAATATGGTTGGGAATTACCAGAACTCACACTCATGTCTCTCCAACTCCAAAGCCCTTCTCCTCTCCTTTGTAAGTAAAGAGTATCTGGGAAGAAAGTCACGATGGGGCTGCAAGTGTTGAAGTTAGCCTTCAAAGACTGAAATGCAAACAGTAGTGTCATTGCTAGATTGCAGGTAATTTTCAGCAGCTGCCATCCAGAATAGTGTTGTTTTGTTTTTTAAAAGGCTAGCCAAGTGCAGCAGTGGGAGTGAAGAAGGAACAAAGAAATCTGTAACTGGTTGTAATCAATTAGTTTTTAACACCACTACACTCAGACCAACCCATCCAGAGTTTTGGAGGTGTCTTTAAGGAGAAGAACTTAGATTTTTCTAGTTTGGATGTCCCCAACCATAAGACCCAGTTGCCTGGAATCGTCCTGGTTATACCACTTCCTGACCGTTATTAATAGTGCCTCACTCACTTTTAAAAGTATTGTGGTTTGGATAATTATATGGCCCACCATCCATAATCCTTCCTGAGTTATCTTCGGATTAACATAGAGACTGGTGTTTCATTCTAACTAGCGCTAATAGAAGTTGGTCTGTTTTTATTCACTTTCTTTGCTACCATGCCAATTTATACATTTCAAGTTAGCTTTGGTTTTAGTCTGTTGACCCAACTAATTTAAAGGCATGGTTTGCTTAAGTTAGCAAGATTTTCCACACTTGCTCTATCATCCTTTCTGCCAAAATATTTTGTAAATGACACTTTACCCCTTTGTACTTTGGTAGCTGAAATAAGCTCATAAGTTTTTATAAACCTATTGTGAAACCTAATCAGTATAGCAGAGGAACCTTTTGCAACATGAATCATCACCCCTAGCATAATTTGGTTTTCACTTATCAGATTATCTTAAAGTGGGGTGTACCTATATTTGCGTACTAGTGTGATGCTGCATAGGTGTGCATAACACAGCCAGAGAGTAGTCCTAGGCTTGTGGCTGTGGGTGTTCTTAAATTTTATATTCTCTTCTCTTTGGGCAGTGCACGATCTGATTTTCTGGAGAGATGTGAAGAAGACTGGGTTTGTCTTCGGCACAACGCTGATCATGCTACTTTCCCTGGCCGCTTTCAGTGTCATCAGTGTGGTTTCTTACCTCATCCTGGCTCTTCTCTCTGTCACCATCAGCTTCAGGGTCTACAAGTCTGTCATCCAAGCTGTACAGAAGTCAGAAGAAGGCCATCCATTCAAGTGAGTTGAAGTATCACAAGTAACATTCTACTTGTGATTTTAGTGAAGGGGTTCTCTAGGGCTGATCAGGTGTAAAACTCAAACTTCACTAAAAATCAAGATTTATGGAGCATGATGAAGCTTGATTGGTGGCAGGAACCATCAACTAGAGGCCTTGAGATCACCTCAAGAAGTGGCAAAGTTAGGAACCAAGAACTTTTTGACAAACTAAAGGCTTATACTTCAAGACCAAAGAGGACTCTCTAAATTCCTGAGCAGGGTAGGGAAAGCAGAGCACCTACAGCAGTACTCAGTTAGATGGGGTCCCAAGTACATGTTTAAGCCCCCCCTTGAAATGCTGGTCTTGAGGCTGTGCTCTTGATGATATCAAAACTCACTGTGTTTGCTCATGGTTTTATTACTGATTTCCTTCTTATCTCTCCTTTAGTTTTCTTAATACCAGAGGCAAGTCTTAATGAAATCAGTACGTCATGCATTTCTAGGATCCGATTTCTAGCTTTTCTGGTTGTGCTATAACTTTAACAGATGTTTTCTTCACACTTTTCCTCTTGAAAATCAGAGTCCGCAAAAAATTTGTACTTTAACATTAGCAAATGATAAGTTTTTTAAAAGCCCTTTTTCAAAGAAAAAGAGACCCTGCTGTGACTACACAGAACAGGTTTCTGTCTGGAGCTCTCTGGTTGTTGTATTTTGGTGAAAATAGAAGGAATAATTTCTACTATCTGTGACATTAAAAAATTTACTGCAAATTAGTTTTAACAAACTAATAGCTTTTGAATGAATAAGCAAGTAAATTTTACTGTCTTGCAACAAGCTCAGGAGTCTAATGGGTTTTTTTTCCTCTTTTGCATGATACTATTGTGGATTTATTCGATATGTTTTGCTAAGTTGTATTAATTTACAACATCTAGTTTTTTTTTTTTTTTTTTCGTTAAATTTTTATTTTGTCAATATACAATGTATATGATTATTATGGCCCATCACCGACACCTCCCTCCCTCCTCCCTCTCTCCCCTCCCCCCCAAGAATGTCCTTTCCGTTTGCTTGTTGTAACAACTTCATAAAAGTATAGTTGTTATATCTTCTTCCCCACCCCACCCCCCGGACAACATCTAGTTTTTATAAGTTTATATTTGGTAGTAAATATTTTCTCAATAAATAGGAAGGAGAAACATGCCTATCATTTTTCTGTTTTCCCCACAAGACTGTAGGCTTCTTAAGGAAAAAGAAGTCTTATCTTTCCTGATATCCCAGCACATAGCAGAGTGTCTGTGTATGCAGAAGGCACTCAGCAAATACTGTTACACATGGTTACATCTCAGTTCAGGGAACAGAATCCAGATCTTTCTGTCTTCTGCAGTTTTCAACCCTATCAAATTCAATATCTCTATCCTCCTTTTTTGTTTTTTAAACAAATATTTTATAATGCCTTCTTTACCATTCTGAAATGAAATTCATAGATAATATAATCTACAAATATAATGTCAAAAATAGATCATAATTATAATATAAAGGGGTGATAAAATAGAAAGCCATTTATAATAAAGTAACATGTATTTTAGTCAATGTTTAATTGCTTGGACATGGCTACACCAAAAAACATAATGAAGAGACTGCGACGGATATCTGGCTAATCCGAGGTCAAATTCTTGTAGAGTGAAAATTTCCGACTGCCAAAACCAACTTCTCCCCAGAGTGGAATCACATTTTGTATGCAGCACTCTTGATAAGGCCACGTGGAGTACAGATTTGGTCTTTACTACCAGAGAGCCCAGAGGCAAGACTGTGTGTGGCCAGTGGCGCATGAGTAGCACAGGCTGTGGTCCTTGACTTCCGGGACAGGTGGGGTTGAGTGCGGGAAGATACCACTGTGTGTGGATTGCTAGGGAAGCCTTGTGGAAAAGGTGTCACCTGAATTGAGCTTTAATTAATGAGTCGAGGCTAGAGAGGGGCAGGAAGGAGGAGAGAGGACATGGAAAGTGGGCAGAATGACATGAACAGCATGCAGAGGTGGAGAAATAAGTTTTGGCCAGATCCTGGAAATCCTTGGATGTTGGGAGAAGGAAGTCATAGTAATTTATCTTTTAAGCAATAGAGAGCCAGTGGAGGTTTTGAGCAGGAGTAATGTGACTAAAAAAGTGTCATTTCCCCCCTCCCTCTCTCTGGGGTATAAAGAAAGTAGTGTTTACCTGATAAGCTTTTGAGGTGACTGGGATTGTTTTATGGTATGCGGCTGAGCCTGAGATATTATGTGGCCTGTTAATTTGGAGCTTCAGGAAATGGGACCCATGGGAGACATAGCATTGGGTAAATCTTTCCCAGAAGACTCTGGAAGAGCCACACCAATCCCAGCAAGAGCCAGTCCATGCTGTAGCTATTGAAGAAGGAATCAAGATTCCACCCAGGTTCCCGAGAGTGTAGAATGAAAACATCTGGAAAGAATATTTTTCAACATTGATTTCTTTAAGTAGCAAAGTGGGGGAGATTTGATTTCAGGATTTTACTTTCTCTGGGGCAACAAAGGAAGGCTGATTGCATTGTTGGAACTTTTATATTCTCTAAGAACTGTAATTTTTGTGTGGAAACTTTATAATGGTGGAGGGCTCTTAATCTCATTTTTATCTTGCTGGATTTGGGCTGAGCTCCTTGACTAACCTTCTCTGATGAGCTATGCTGTGTGATGTCATGGGATACAGAATGGGGTAAATTGTCAGGTAGTGGGCTTTGGAGTTAAATGAGTGGCCGTAATAACTTCGTATAGCATACATTATACGAAGTTATACGAAGGACTCAGTTTCTCCAGGTACAAAATTAATGGGTGAGGTAGGATGCTCTCTAAATTCCCTTCTAGCTCCAATGTTCATGGGTACCACATTTGAAGAAGGGAGTAGACACATGATAGAAAGAGCAAATAGGTTGAGGGGAATGAAAACCATAAGGAGTAGCCAAAAGAAGCAGGACTAGAGATGAGAGAACACCGGGGACATGAGTGGCATCTGCCTCCCAATGTCTGCAGTGCTGTCGTAGGAAGGACTGACTCAGTTCATCCTGCGTGGCCACAGAGAGGGAAATTGAGACCAATGGGCAAAAGCCCCAGGGAGTCAGAACTTTCTAAAAAAAAAAAAAAAAAAAGTAAAGTAAAAAAGAATATAGATCAGGCACATGGTTTCTAGTATTCAGAAAATGCTGTACTCCAGTGTCTTTAAAGGAAATACCTACTAAATAAGACTTACCTCTGCAAAAGATGAGTGATTTTTATTTTAACAAAGTATGGCATAGTTTGAAGTCTAAAACCAGAAGTTTTTTTAAATACTTTAAAAAACTGGGCATTATTTTCATTTTCCATACTACTCAACAGTATTTTAAAAATGGTTAAACTAGACAGAAGAACAGTGCCTTCAGGAAAATTGTTAACCTCTGTGTTGCCACAACTGAGTATACTTTTCTTCCTTAAAAGACCCAGATTGATCACTATGTTGGCATTGCCCGGGATCAGACCAAGTCAATTGTTGAAAAGTAAGTATGTTGAGGGACCATATTTCATCATGACGTGTGCTTTTCTTCCCAGTTATTTTTAGTCCCCTATTTAAAATGCTGATGCAAAAGAAAGTAATTTCACCCTGAGAAAAACTTGGTTAATAGTTGTTTTTTGTTTTTTTAACTAGAAATTTAATTTTTACTAGAAATTATTTCACCTGCTTCTTAAAAAAAACATCCTTTGTACCTTAGATTATAAAGGATCGGTGGAATCAGGACCACTATGCCTTTTTGAACTGACTTTTAAATATTCTTAGTTGTCTCCCCACCTTCATTTTCATATGTATCAGTTAAGCCAAACTCTTCCTTCTTTCTTCACAAATGAAAATTTTATGCTCAATGGGCATTGGTAAAGAAAAAAAAATTTTAATAAGTAAATAATTTAAGACTCAAAGCTCTTTTCTAAGATTACCAAATTCCTGTTTTATTTTTTTGACCAATTAATATATATATATTTTTTTTAAAGGTAAGGGGATCTTAACCCTTGACTTGGTGTTGTCAGCACCACACTCTCCCAAGTGAGCCATGGGCCGGCCCTGATCAATTAGTATTTAAATCAAGTAATAAAATATTGATAAATATCTTTATGACTCCCTATATCAAGAAGCTGTTTTCTTCTTTTTATTTTGTTTTTTTTAAAGATGACCGGTAAGGGGATCTTAACCCTTGACTTGGTGTTATGAGCACCACACTCTCCCCAGTGAGACTTGCGCCAGCCCTTATTTTGAATTATTTCTAGCAAGTTCTATGAACCCAATACTTCTCATTAAAATGTTAACATTTTTTCGCAAGGTGTCATAACACCAAGGTCCAGGGTTTGGATCCCTATACCAGCCAGCTGCCAGGAAAAAAAAAAATGTTAACATTTTTAATATTTTTCAAATATTCTTTAAAAAACAAAGTATCACAAATAGTTAAATCCCCTCAAGTTCCTTTCATACCCCACGTTAGTGCTTTTTCCAGCTTTATAAAAAGGAAAATGGGAATATAACATAACCAGACAGATCTGGCATGATGCCCAGGTCTCCACCTGCTTTTTTGCATTTGCACTGGTGCTAAAACCAGGCAGACAATTAGCACAAATATATATCTGGTTGCTGTTTACCCCTGATTTGTGAAAAACGGTCATAGCTCAGCTACAACTTGATGTCTTGATTGCCATGTTATCTGGCTTGGGTCATCTACTGTGGGATGTGACGTGTGGAGAGTAGCCTTGATCTTGGCGATGAGTAGCCTTAATGATTTCAGAATACCTTTGTCAGAATAAAGTAGAGCTTTGGTGTCCTGTGAAGGGCCGAGAACTGTTTCCAGCTCCTATAATCATGGGAACCAGGAACCAATGACTCATGTCCTTTTTACATGTTGCCTTGACCCTTGACTTCTGTTCCTTTTGTGGCAGTAGTGGGTGACTTAACATTTCTTTACCTGTACCTCACAGAGCCAAAGAGATGGGTTCTTGCATTGGCCAGTGTGCAGAAAGCATAGAAAGCAGGCATTATGCCCAGGCACCTCTCGTTCTTCTCTAGAATCCCCAGTGAAGGACGGCAGCAGGGGGAGGGGATGGATATTTGTGGACATCTCAGGATCATCCTAGCCCAGACTCAGCTCCTGCCTCTCTTTCCATCCATCCCTGTGAATGGGAGAATGTTTTTCACATTGTTTCAGCAAATGCTGGGCTCTTCTAGCATCACTGTTAAAATAAAAACCTAGGACAAATGCTTATGTTTTACCTACCTTTTTTTTTTTTTTTTTTTTTTTTTTCCCTTAATAGGATTCAAGCAAAACTTCCTGGAATCGCCAAAAAAAAGGCAGAATAAGCACACGGAAACCGGAAATGCAACAGTTACTAAAATACCATTTAATAGTTATAATGTTGTTACTTGTATTATGAAGGAACATGCTCAGCATCAGCTTGAGCCTGCATTCCAAGCTTTTTTTTTTTAATTTGGTGTTTTCTCCCCTCCTTTCCCTTTACCCTCAGTATCAAGCACAAGAATTGTTGGACTAAAAGAAGAACTATCTTAGAACCCAAAAGAAAAAGAAAGAATCAAATTAATAGAATAAATCAATATCTTAGTGGTGGTGGAGCTTTTACCTGTAGCTTGAAAGGGGAAAGATTGGAGGTAAAGGAGAAAATGAAAGATAGAACACATCTCTTGGGTCCTTCTTTCCAGTTTTCAAGGATTAGTCTTACACAGCTTCCCATTATAGTTTCGCCCTTAGTTTTAAGTTAAGAAATAATGATTAACTTATGAAGAAATTATTTGGGGACAGGAATGGGATTCCTTCAAGGCCCTTGGGTTTTTTGCAGCCCTCTCATTCCATCTTCCTTCCCCACAATGTGAGCAGCTACTCCTAATCTTTCTCTCCTTCACTTAATGGTATAACTTTCAACTCTCATAATAACTTATAGGTGATAGTGAAAATTCCTGATTCCCAGAATGCCACCTGATAAATAAGAATGGAAATAGAAAGTGGGACTGGAGAGGGTGTCAGGAGGAGCACCACTGTGGCTGCCACTCCCTCTGCCACTCATCCCCGGGAAGGAAAGGCTCTGCCATTTGGGGAGGTGGTGTCTGTGTCATCTCTCTCAGACATCAGTGCTGAGCGTTAGTTTAAGAACTCATTCCCGAATGTGCTTTTTCCTCCCTCTCCCCTGCCCACCTCACTTCAAGTTTAATGAATATGGTTGTTCTTTTCTTACTATGAAATAAATGTCTGTAACTGCTGTACACTGCTGTAAACTTGTTAGAGAAAAAAATAATCTGCATGTGGGCTCTTCAGTTATTGAGTTATCGTAATCCTATCTCAGTCTGTGGGGGGGAACATTCTCAAGAGTTGGACTGCAGAAATACAAAAAGTCTGTTTTTTCTTTATCTTTTCCATACTGCTTTGTTCTTCATATGCTGCATCTGTAACCTGTGCTCATCATTTTAGCCTAAGGACCAAAGCCGAGCTGGCTTGAGAGGAGATTGTGTACGTCTGTGGTTAAGAGACCACAAATTAGTGTAGGGAAGTGCATTTTGTGGTTCAAATGGAGTTTTAACTGTTTCAAGGCTAGCTTATGGGTGCATGTTGTTTTGAGGGTTCTTTTCATTTTCAGACACATAAAATGTCCTGTAATGGCCCGGGGTGCTCCTTTGGAGAGTGTTTTCCAAGAAGTTTTAGGTGAGGATGACCAGGCAGGGCCAGATGGTTGATGGGCCTCGCGTACAATTAAAAGACAACAGAACAACTCAAATTGACATCTGATGGAGGGCAAATGGGACTCTTTGATTCCCATTTGAAACTGATAAGTTTCTCCCTCCCCTTCAACATGAAAATTTAGTAAACTTGAAAGAAAAGTCATGTGTGAATTCCTCCAGGTTGTAACTCTTGAGTCATAATCCTCCAGAGGGAATAAGCACTGGTGACTTTAAGTAAGGGCTACAATATTTGATGGTCCCTAAGTACTGCAACTCTGAAGAAAGTGTGGGAGGAAATTTTCTTTCCACTTTTTTTTTGAAAAATTACTTAGGAATATAGATGAGTAAAAGGTACCCTTGCCTTACTTACTTTTCTTACTTTCTTAGCCCCCTTCCCTTTTGAAACATTTAGCTGATTATTCATGTCATAGTAGGAAATGCATTTGCCATCATCATCCTTTGCCCTCCCTGGAAGTCAATGCACTGATCATCTTTTTGGGCTTCCCCTCCAAAAGACCTCTTTCTGCACTGGAAGCCTCCACATCTAGCTCTTTTCTTTTGTTGCTGCTGTGTTTAGATAATTGGAGAGATGTCTGTGCCACGCAGGAATTTTTTTTTTTTTAAAGAAAAACATGTAGATGAAAAAATTACTAACGAAACTTGTGTGCGTGTCTGTGCGTGCAACATAAAAAGCAGTAGTGCCTAAGGAGCTTAAATCTTGGTCCCTGTAAAACTGCAAATTGATGTGGTATTAATAAAATTTAAAAAAAAAAAACACAAATGACTGGTGTCATTCTGCTAACTTTATTCTTTATACATTGGGTAAAGTAAGAACCAAACAAGGCTTCCACTCCCCCCATCGCTAACTTTATTCTTTATACATTGGGTAAAGTAAGAACCAAACAAGGCTTCCACTCCCCCCAATCTCACTCCACTTTTGGGGCTTTAAAAGCGACTAATAGTTGATACTGGTAAGGATTCCCAAGATTGCAGAATTTCCATAATAGAGCACAGCTGTGCATTTGATGTCTGAAAAAAATGAGAGACCCTCTAAGAGGTGATCTTAAGAGAAAGATGAGGAGGAGTGGAAGAGGCCGGAGGGGTCTATTCTCCAAGTTCAGCCTCCCACCAACCTGCGAGGGTTCCCTGCCTGCAACATGGAGCAGCCTATAAATCACACATAGCCACAATGCACTTAAATTGAGGCAGTCACCATAGAAAATGGGAACTAAATACATCAGGTCTTTGCTGAAAGAACTTGTCACCACTGATTTGCTGCTCTTCTTCCATAACTAAGGCTGCTGTGACCCTTAAAACTGGATTTAAAAATTTTATTCAACATACCTCTTAGAAAACTTAGGGTGAAATATTTTTTAAATGACTGATGCAAACTTCACAAATACGCATACAAATGTTTGAATAGTGTCACTAAGTAACATGGTATATAAATATGTATTCAGAGTAACATTTACATATTGGCAATAATAGCAAGCATATCATTAACCAAAAAAAAAAAGATCATGAAGAAACTTCACCTGTTCATGTTGGAATCCCAAGGTGAGACAGGCACACCTAGGGATGAGGACCAGCTAACCCCCGACTTCTACCTGTTAGGTCATAGCTACAGTCAAGGTAGGGATCACTACCGCCTGCCTTCCCAAATCACTGACACTCAGAACTTCAGCTGCATCAGATCACAAAAAGGCTTATCAAAACGGATTGTTGGGCCCCATCCCAGTTCAGTAAGCCTGTGCTGGGGCCTAAGAATTCATATTTCTAGAAAGTTCCTAAGGTGATGCTGCTGGCCTGGGGCCACACTTAGAACCACTGGTGTGTGGGGGGGTGCTATCTCTCAAAGAAGACATCCACTCCTGTCCTAAGCCTCTCCCTGCCTATGGGGCGGGGAACCATTCCTAACCTGCTCTCTGCCCTGACTTACCTGAACTTCAGCAGTGGGCTTGGACGATTATAATCGGTTGCCCCAATTTGCCTACTGTTTTTGAGTGGGCAGAGTAGAAAAAGTGGTAGAATACTCATTCTGGATCTGAAAACAACAGGCATGAAGGAAAGTAAAAGAATGGCAGTGCCCAGCCTGGTGCCATCCATAATCTCTGTTCTCAAGTTTTTAATACTGTCTCAAAAACCCTGGAAGTCTAAAATTGCTGGGAATTCACTTTTCAGTCAACTGACAGCCCATTCAGTTATCTTCCTGAATCCTTGGTGGCCTTGACAACAAAACACAATGCTGAGCCTTCCCTACTGGGGAGGTCTTGGGCCAGGCCTGGTCACCCCAGTTCTGATGGGGAAGACTGCTGTCTGCACCTTTCAGCTGAGGCCTGCAGTGGCAAGAACTGCCCTACAGAATTCAGCATACTCATCCCAAGGAAGCATGCAGTTCTTTGCCACCCCGAGGAGTCACGATTGCACCATGATGGCCTGCAGCACCCAGCACATGCCATCCTTTGGCAGGCAGGCCTCACAGGGAAAGAAATTTTAATAACTTATAAATCAGGAGGCAGGGTGGTATAGTGCAAAGAACACTGAACTGGGAATTCAGATCTTCTAGTTCTTGTACTGTTCCTATGTGACTGCAATAATTTCAGTTTCTGGGCTTCATTTTACCTATGGGGGGGTATTAGTGGTCTCCAGGGTCCCTTCCAACTCTGACAATTTTGAATTATATAAAAATGCTATAAAACCCATGGTATAAAATCCAACTCCCAAACAGGAAGAGTCAAGGCGTCTGGGCCTGAGGCACTTGAACCTTGGGCTCTGGCCTGGGGGAGAAGGGATGAGAGAAGGAGCTACCTGTTTGCCCTCTGCTTTTCCGCATACCCAGGCAGCCGGCCCCATCTGCCAGTGCCCCTCACCCTCCAGACTCAGCCCTCAAGTCCCACCCGCTGACCTCCCCACCCTAAGACCAAGAGAACTGTCCCTGCAGTGGCCTCACTTTGTGAAGAGCAGACATTGGCGCCCAGAGGGTCATACATGGGATGTCTCGGGTCCCATCCCCGCCTCTGTCCTAGCTCCTTCAACCTTTCGGTCCTTTCTCCACCACCTCACAGCTTATCTCTGACACACGCAAAATAAATAAGACATTTGCACATAAGGGTGATTGGGTCAGCTCTCTCCCCGCCCCTCCCCCTTCGTATAAAAGCATTAAATACAGTTTCAAAATAAAATACAAAGAGCAAAAAAGGGCCTGGTCTCGGGACCACCTGTTCTCCACAGGAGAATGAATCTACACATCCCTCTCGGACCTGCCTGGGAGATCGCGGAACCCCTTCCCCGCCCCACAGGGCCTGGCGCTGCTTCGGGGAAGAAGAGGGAGGCCGAGGTCCGGCCCCAGGCCCTGGGGGCCGGGAACGGGTGGCGCGTCCACCGCGGACAAAGGGGGATGGGAAGGGAGCGGGAATATATCGCCAAGAGCCGGGACCGCCAGTGCCCCGGGCTCGGACGGACCTGGCGCTGGAGCAAGAGCGCCTAACTCTGAGCTTAAGGGTAAACGGAGGCCCTCGGGGCAGGAGAGGAGCAAAGGAAAAAGTGCTGATCCCTTTCCACGGTCTCTGTCCGGGCGGTCGTGACAGCGGCCCGGGAGGCGGGCGGCGGGAGGCGGGCGGCGGGCACGGCTGGCCC